CGTGGACATCACCCTCCCGTCGGAGGAGTGCACAACCATGATAGACAGGGGGCTGCAGTTCGAGGAGAGGAACTTCCTTCTCAACGGCGGCTCCCAGAAGACTTTCCATAGTCAACTACTCAGACCCTCTGACTATGTCTATGACAAAGACATTAAAAGTGAGCCTATAAACCCATCGGGCCCAAAGAGGAAGAGAGTCAAGTTTACTTCCTACACCACCATCCTCCCGGAGGACGGTGGCCCATACACCAACTCCATCCTGTTTGACAGTGAGGATAACATCAAGTGGGTCTGTCAGGACACCGGGCTGGGGGGCCCCCGGGACCTTAGAGACTATATGGAAAGGCTGCAAGACCAGATGTGAACTCCTTTCTTACGTTTGTATTCACCTTTATGCCTTCTGTTTTTTGAACGGTGGAGCAGTGAGTTTGTTCAGCAATAGGGGGTGATTTAACAAAGGTTAACTTGTGGAGGTCTGGGAGGGATCCCTTTCTGAGCAGGTGTCAGAGGCCCGGAGAGCTACAGCAGCTGGGTGATAAGCCGGGAAATGTCTCTAAAGCGGCCACACATAGATCCTGGAGAAGTTCTAAGACAACAGTAGTATCTGCAGCCTGATACTAGCTCAGTTCAAATACAATAAACCTGACCCCACAGACGTTGTTAGTCATCTCGCGACAAACGGCCGTGTGGATTTAGAAAAGGCTTGGGTGTTGATTTTTCTATTCCTAGAACTTTTAAAGCACAGTGGACACTCCTTGCCCTTGGCCCGAGATTGGACGTACGCGAAAGATGCCGAATGTAGCCGCCCTTATTTGTTATGAGCGCTGCTCGTTATTTTTATATACATTTGCACCTGCACCTGGTTTCCTTTGGCCTCTGGAATTCTTTTTGAAACATGAAGAAAAGCAGTTGTGGTCTTCTCTCTGAGATGTTTGATTTACACATGAGTTTGAGTCGCTGACGTTTGCCGCGTCCGTGCAGGACGTCAGGTGTCCTCCAGTTTTCCACACTCCTTACCTAAGGGGCCATATCTGAGAAACTTATCCTCACAATGTCCTTCCTTCTCTTGGTTGTGAAGCTTCCTTGTATCAGGACTGGGGACATGGGGTTTTACACAAAATATTAATATACCGTGAGGGAGGGCCATCTCTTTACAGTTTTCTATATGAAGCTTAAAAACTTTGGTGAACACTTGTCAACCACATTTATTTTGTATCTTCTGCCTGTGGAAGATTCACGGGGAATCCCTGGAGTGCATTTCTGAGGGCTTTAGAAAAGACCCTGAAATAGTTTGTCATTATACTGGTGCTTTCTGGTCAACGCAATGTGTTATCCAAATGGAAATCAAAATCTTAAACTAATATACACAGAAAGGAAATTGCATGGGAAATGCATTCAGATTAAACTTCCATTTTACTGGAACAACCACCACAACAATTTGAAAGTAGAGTGATGTCTCCACTTAGCAATATGTAGAAATCCTTCCGTACAATGACCCCCAACCCTTACCCCCCAAAACCCATCAGTCGCAACTCTGGCAGAGATAAAACCTATACAGGGTGTGCTCTGATGGAGAAAAGCAATGGGTTTGCCCCCAAACAGCATAAAATAAACGGCCGTTCAAGAGTTTAAGCGGTTATGCTGAAAAAACCATAGCTATTGGAAAGTCAAAGTGGCAATAGGAAAAAAAAAGCATGGCCCCCTGCATAATTTTTAAATACAAAAATATTTTTCAAGGAATTGCATGAACGGCTTCAAGCAAAGCAAGAATTTCAGGTTAGATTAGAATTTCTCACACTCACAAGAACATTCTACTGAGATGGGATAGAGGTGAAGACGGACAGTGCACTAGGCCACCAATTCCGAGCTTTCTGGTGCCACTTACGTCCCTAGGAAATAGAAATTTAAAATCCAGGGCAGCAAAGGCGCGGGGAAGCGGTTTCTTGACTCCTCGTGACTGCTGAGCAAGCTGTTAGAATGAGAGGCGTTCGGTTGTTGTTGGGAAGCGTTCCGTGCGTGGGGGGCAGGACAGCCCAGCCTCCTCTGACCTGTGCCTCCTGCCCACAGCACTGCGGTGGGTTTGTAAACCGTGCATACGTTACCAGGGACGTGGACCTGATATTGAGAGGCCAGTGTTCAGTTGATCTTGTGTTTAAGTTGGGGGTTGAGGAGTGAAGCTGGTAAAGTTGCAAAAAAATCTTTCAACTCGGTGGGTGAACGAAGCCAGGAGACCCAGGCGTTAGCTTCAGAGGGAGTTTGCAAAGAGATGGCTGACGTCTGGCAGGAAGGGCACCTCAGGGAGCCCGGGGAGACTGTCACCAGGGGTTCGAGGCAGGGGAGGTGGCTCAGAGCTAGCCGGGGAGGCCAAAAGGAAGTTCACACGCTAATGCAGCATAGCTGTCGAAATGAGCCCCACTCCTTCTGTAAGACGTTCTCAATTTTCTCTCCCTTTGGATCTTCAGCAAAATCCCCAAAATAATGGGGATTTCATGTCTGAAACGGAGGACATTCAGCTGGTATAGGGAGCCTCCCGCACATTCTCACACAGCAGGCTGCCCCCGCTGGTGCAGTGAGGCTCTGGCAGGGGGGTGATCTGGAAAGGAAGGAGGACGTTACCATTGCCATGATTAGCGTTACTGACAAGCTTGCAAATCAGAGCATTCCCTGGGGTCTGAGCCTTTGATGTGGGCAGAGCGCAAACTCTGGGGCACTAGAACATAGAACGCCTCAGAGTTCTCAGGAGTCGGGAGCTGTCCGCGGTCCTGAAGATGCCTCCCGTGGGTGATCCAGGCTCTCTGCACAGTCTCCTTTGTCCGTTTCCGTTCAAATTCAGTTCAACGTGAAAGTCGAATGGAAGGTCATGGAGGAGGGGTCCCTCTTACCACACAGCACACGCTCACACGCACGCACACATACATACGTACATGAGTGTGTTGGTAGTGAAGAGCCAGAGAGAACAGTATGTAGCAGGAACCAGCATGGTCCGCGGTCCCCCGATTTGCCACGGGCATCATTCCGCTATCCGGGATTTCAGTGAAGTTCTTTTTGTTCTAAATATCTCCCGCTGACCAGCAGCCGTGGATTATACCTGCCTGATTTCCAATAGATCATTTAAAATGAATAGGAACTATGCCTCTACATATCTAAACTTAGATGGGGAACAGACCTAAATCATGAAACCTTGAAATACAGTTCCCTGGGGACCTGCATGTGCCTGGATTTTCCAGGTTTTTATAGCTGACATATCCAACTGATCGGTGTAATAACCTGAACAGAACAGCATTGATAAAGTCCCTTCCTCTCCCCAAGAAGCGAATGCTTAGACCTCCCTCCGACCCCCGAGGCGGACACCAGCAAGCCTTGGGACACAGGCTGGGAACTTCGCGGGTCACAGGGAGGGCGGCCCAGGCACCCTCGAGGACCGGGCCACCTAGAACGGGGGAGGGTGAGACCAGTGTTCCCAGCGGCCAGATGTGCTGCTCTCCACGCCACACCCAGGGATTGAGGAGCGGCTGCCGCAAGACAGAAGCACGGTGTGAGCACACGGGGTTGCATCGGAGGGAAAGCCAGAGACACGTCAAGTTTCCCTGAAGGGCGCCACCCAGCAAACCTCGGGACACTCTGCACGTGCCAGCAGAGGACTAACTGACTTCCTAACTGTTTTGTGTTGCGCCCTGGCCAGGGTAAGCTCCCAGACTTAAACTCCAGGCAGAGCGTTTCTGTGTATGAACGTTAATGCAGGGAAAACACGGATTAATTTCTGTACCATTGCCACATCCGTAGACAGGTACCTTGTACTTCGCTGATTTTTAAGTTTTAGGAAGTCTGCCTTTGTGCATTTTGTTGTTTGCACCCTCTTCTCACCCTTTTAGAAAGGCGTCTTCCCATGGTGGGGTGTTGGGACCAGCCAAGGCTCTGTCAGAGAACTAAGCAGTCCCCCTTCAACGACCACACAGAGTGGTTGCACCTGCTTCCTCCATATCACCAGGACCATTGTGTTTTCTACTCGGATCATCTCACAAACGGCTTCAATCCTTCATGCTCGTCTCTGTAAATGACACGACAGATGGTTTATAAACTCACTAGCCGTCTCCTCCGTCAACAGTATACATGTGTGATGTACCGAGTATCACCTGTTATGTGAAGGAACGGACGGGATGGGTGGTGGAAAGGCTATGCTAAGATACGGAAAGCAGATATTTTTGTATGTAACAGAGGCAGTTCCCTGGGGTGCTGAGAAGTGCGCAGGAATAAATACATTTTATAATAAAAGCATGCAATGCTGTAGCTTTTAAATGTACAGACATCCCTGCTCAAAAATATCCAAACCGATGGTGGGGAAAACACCGGGCCTAACCTCCCGCGGGGCGCTGGTTAGGACCGCTGCCTGGAGAGGGCATAGCTCATGGTGGCATCACGGGTGGAATCTGCTAGAAGATTTTGATCTTACTCTTCATTACTTCTGGATTTTTTTCCTCTTTTTTTTTTTTCCTGAAAATACTTCAGATAAAAGTGACTACATTTTCCAGCATAAAGGTATATTCTAACCACAGGGTAACTCATCATTTTTAACGTGAAAATAAACACTTAAACATTCTTCGGTTGTTTCCTTATTTTATGCACATATTCCCTCTTCAATTTCAGCCTCTGTATGAATTCACTCTTCTCATATATATTTTTTCTTCTTAGCCAGAGATTTTTAATACATTTGATACAGCAATAAATGGAAACCAAAAGAAAATGTTTCTTAAAAGTTGCAAACAGCTTTTACCTTTGGAAAGCTTCTCATTTGTTTTCCCAGCTGGGGGACACTTATTCCGGGATATCTTAGAAGGTGGGCTTGTGGCGCTCACGTCCCTGTCGAGGGCCACGCCATCTTGGAGTCAGTGCTGACGTGCAGGATGCAGTGGCCCCTGACCTCAGTCTCCCTTCTGGTCTTCCCTTGTCAATGGCTCCCTTGTGTGTATGTGTTTGGGGCTGGGTGCTGAGGGTCCAGAACGGGCAGAGCTCTAGAGACATAAGAAAAACACAAGACTGTCAGGCTCCTGCTTGGGAGGTTGACGTAAGCATTTCAGCTGACTGCTGGCCAGGCATTGCCGAGCCCCCGAAGTTCCTCAGTTGGCATGTGTGTCCTTCCCGACACTGCCAGCATCATGTTTGGTATTTTGGCAAATGTCGTCCCTTGCATTCAGGAGGAGGGGATACCACTCTGGCAGTAACTTGACACGTCACGATAAATGCCCTCTAAATGGGCTCTGCAGACATCATTTTGAGGCACTGGGTATACACATGGGGTTGGCTTGTGAAATCGAATCTGTGGAGTAGCAGGCATCCGATGCGCCCAGGTGCTCTCCCAGGTGTGGA